TATGAAAAATGCCTCGACGTTGCTATTCTTGTTTCATAAATACGTGTTTTTATCTTTGCTGTTTGACTGTGTCAATATTCTTGAAAGGGTTACAAATATTGAGTTTTGAAGTCGACATTTAATTAAAATGTATAACTATTATGTCAACACGACAACAGTAACAGACGCAAGCAAGCTTTCATAATATTCATAATTTCGTTCTTTGTTGCCTTATTTCATATAAACAAACTTTAATTTGTGAATAGTGTAATAATTGAGATGCAAGTTAAACTCTAATGTTTTAAAAACTAACTGTAGCTATATCTTGGCAGAATTACTCAATCAGTTCTAAATAGTTCTTCTTAGCGATCTAGTAGTAAGGATCACCCCTTACTGGTCTAATGGCAGATCAAACGAGGATGAGAGTTGATGCGAGTGTGCAAGTGAAGTTTGTATAAGAGTTTTCTCAACTCACATCATGGCTGGTGAAATCAGAATAAGAATTGAATGAGAGTTGTCTTGATGAAAGTTGATAATAGGGAGTTTAAGCTTCACTCGTTTCCGGGAACGGCAGGTTCGAATTTTCTTGGCAAAATTTTCGTTGAACGTTTTCGTTTCATATTTTCTTTCTTGCGTCGAAAGAATAATTATGTATTTCAGTTTTAAAACAGCAAGTTTGTGTACTCTTTATTGCCTGATACCGTAACATTTTTCCTTGCCTGGCGTTTGCCGTATAACGCGAAGCTTAAACGCTCTATTATACCGACCAAGCGAGCAAAAGCTCTCGTCAACTCTCATCAAACGTGGATGAGAGTTGACGAGAGTTCTCGGTCAACCGCGAGCAACTCTCTTTGACTTTATTATAAACGGTACTATTTCATCAGACTAATTATTTACAAAAATATTAATTAGAAATAAAGAAGAAGGGAAAAAGAAAAGGTAATCTTCCAATAGGCCGCGTGTGCATGCACTATATAAATATATTATATAAATTATCAATAGTTTTAAAATTAATTCAATGGCTGGAAATAAATTTCCAGTAATAGTATATTCGCTTCATTTTGGTTTTATCTTCTCAACGGGGATGAACTTTATTCATGTTATCTGTCAGTCTTATCTGTTCTCCTTAGCCTAGGCTTAGAAATCCGGAAATGGCCATCCCTCTTTGATCCAGTGTTACTACAGTTGAAACCTTAATAGCTCTATCTGACTTTATATAACATGAACATTAAGAATTCGAGCGCTTTCATTGGTCGAGAGCCATGATCTATTAGAGGACAGACGCACGGAATTATGTCACAATTAAGGTAGCCAATAGCATTTCCTTATTTGTATAGATCATGTACGCGTGATATTTGTAAAATTTCAAATTTCCAAATGTTTGGGGGGACAAATTGACTGATTATGAGTAATACTGTATATCTATAACTGAGACAACGGCAAAATCTTATCTATTTGTTAAATATAAACTCAAAGCTGAACGCCTTTTTAGGGTTATTACTATATTTTTAATTGATGGACAAAGCTTAAGGGTTTGTACCCGGTGGTAGAAATTATCCTATAGGATAAATTGCCCGACCGGAAGTTTGCGTTGTGATCATCGAGGCGTGACTGAACTGTTAAATATTCAATCTCCGAGCAATAAATTACCGTTTTATTGATAAAGAACGATTTTCTAATCTTTATAGTAAAGTAGACATTATCTAATTAATGGAAGGTAAGATCCAGAAAGTTTATCATGTTTTTCTAGTGGATATTATTTTAAGATTTTAAAAGTATTTGTTTGATATAATGTTATTTATTGTAATTACATAGAAAAATATTTTGCTTTAATATATAAAACATAAAACAGATTTTTAACCTTAACCCTAAATTTTAAAATATGTTGTGGCGATGATCGCAATCGACAAGCCGTTGTATTGAATTGCTTTTTATTTTAAAACCAAAAGCAATCATTTTTAGAGTCTTGTCTTAGCTAATCGATTCAACAGGTACCGTGAGCAAACTAGTTCATTCATGTACGTTTGAAGAACTTCAACAATAAATGGGAGTTGTGTTTATTAGGCGACCTCCGTTCTTTGCGCGCAGCAGGATAGGCAATGCCAGAGGCGGGGCTAGGCCTCCTTCGATGGAGGTGAGGTATAGTTTTTACGCCGAGTCATTAGCTGGGTCTGTATTAGCTAAGCTGTGCACGCGCATATTTACTCAACATTTCATATACGCGGATTACGCGCTCATAGGCTATTGAGCTGTTTTGACGTTTTAGATAGATAGATAGATAGATTGTTTGTTTAATAAGATTAACACATAGCAGCCAATAAGGCTGAATTGCGTGCTAAATTTTACAAGAGAAATGATTAAAATTAGTTATTCTATATTTACAGAAGTTTAAAATTACATTACAATTACCCGTTTGTTGTAAATTGATCTTGTGTATATATCAATAGGAAGTTAGGAACAAAACCAATTCATTCATACTTGTGATTGCAAACAGAGCAATCGTTGTCTCAAAACAAGGGGGATGAAGTTGAAAAAAGTGCATTACAATGAAGCGGTTGAGCGCGTGTATTACCTTGAACCATCTAAAAGTTAAATACTGCAAACCTTTGTATTCCAGGGATGTTGGGGGTAATCCTGGCAGCTGGTATAATCCATCTTCTTCAAGGTAATGTAGAAATCTAGTTAAAAACAGAAATATAATACGTTGCTTACGAAATAGTGTAAAATATAAAACAGTATTTATTATTAAGTATATTTCTTAGTAGGTTTTTCAAAGTTGGAAGGAATGAGAATATATATTTTAAAATATACACAATCTATTTAAGAATTCTTTTTAATAGATCGTGTATATATAATGTATTCATGTACACTTTTTCGGAATAACATTAGATTTATATTTCCTGCAACCATCAGGCGAAAAGGTACCTTGATCCTCAGCAATTTCATATTCTCTATTTCCAGGCGAAGTGGGGTGTACAGGACTAGCAGGTCCAAATCAAATAGATTTAGAATCAGGTACGTTCTGCAATGTTGTAACCTTGAAAAAATGAACGTTTTACAGTACACAACCCATGGTGGAACCCTATATGAGATGTTATTTCAAATCCTCCAATTCGGACTCATTCTCGTCCTCAGAGCCATTTTAACTCGGTCACTCGTTGAAAATTAGGCTCTGGGTCAGACGACTAAAGGGAGAGATCTGATTGGCTTTTCAGAGAAATGCTATTTCCCAGAAGTTGAACAGTTTTCGCTACGCAAAATTATTCTATCAAAATATATCAACACAAATACTTCGTTTCTTCGTAATAAATCTCTGTTAAAATTGTTAAAGATGCTAAAACGTCCCGATTCAAGAGTATGCGCATTGGAAACTACTGCAAGTTTTCTTGCACTTCCGGTTCCGCCCAGGGCCTGTCCTCGGCTTCGCCTCAGACTTGATTAAATTTCGCGGACTTGAAATCTAGTCCAGTCCTCACAGTCGGATTTGAAATATTACTTCAATTCTTTCTAGAAAAGGCAATAACAGTATGTACCTCTCAAAAGAGATCGCTGACGTGTGGTTCTCCAGGATCCAGTATTGCGATCACGGACGTATTCTGGGGGAGACAGTCACGTGATATCTGTCCCTCGGATGACGGGGACGAACACGTGGATTGTGGTGCAGCGAAGGAGACGCCAGGGATAGTAAGGGGTATGTGCCAAGGAAAAGCCGCGTGTCAGCTGGAGGCAAAACACAAGTTGTTACAGAATCCTGAATCTCGTCATTGTCCAGGTATAACATGGTGTTGAAATGGTTGGTTTCTCGTGCTTGCTAAGGCCAGGTTCACAGTAGCAATTTTGTCGGCGTTTCTGACGGATGTAAATGAGTGAACTCGCACGCAAAAGTATAGAGTCGCTTTTCAGGAGTAAACAATTCTGAGTCTTTTGCCATTGAACTATAAATAAACTGGAAGGCTAACTGCTATGATGAAGGCCTATGATTTGATGAAGCCAAAATAGTTTTTCTGAGTTATGAGCAGAAATACTTGATCCCAAACGTCCGGCTATATATCAAATTGAAGCTATTGAAAATTGCTATTCGGTGTGGAAATTTCAAGACTTCAGCGAAAAGAAAAATATTTAAAAAATACAAAAACAACTGCAAAACGGCAAATTATCGGTAATTATGTTTGTAATTTTTCAGTACTTCCCTTTTAGCTAAAATCTTGAAGTTTCTACACCAAATAGCGTTTTTCAATAGCTTCAATTTGATATATAGCCCAACGTTCAGTGTTGAGTATTTCTGCTCATAACTCAGAAAAACTAAAATGCACTGGCTTCAATTCCCCCCCCCCCCTGAGTTAGCCTTCCAGTTTATTTATAGTTCAATGGTCTTTTGCATGTCATTCATTCGATCACATTTGCCAGGAGGAGAAAAATCGACGACAGAATTGCTATGTTAGACTAAATTTTAATCTAAGTAAAGAGAAGGGAATCAAACACCACAGATAAAAAAGAACATAATGAAATTAGTAAAATTGTAAAACTTGGTTGCGAAATGTTGTAAAGCTTGGAAAATATAGTCTTGCAAAGTTTGCAAATTTTGTATATATGTTTGTATTACGTGCGGAAATTGTTACCATTTTCGGCTCAAAAATGGTCACAATTTCCGCACCTAATATACAAACATATACAAAATATGCAAACTTCGCAAGGCTATAGTCTCCGTATTTTAAAACATTTCGTAACCAAATTTTGCAATTTTAATAATTCTAATAAGTTCTTTACGGGAATTTACTTTTTTTGCCTAGATCAAAAATTAGTCTAACCTGCAAGTTCTCCAATAAAATTTAACTGTTCATCAATTCTTTGCAGGAGTGAACAAGTACCTAAAAGTCAGCTACACGTGCGTTCCCGATGCGAAAGAGGTGACAGTCTGTGATGGCGAAGAGACAACGCTGAAGTGCCCAGCATCATTTAAAACATTCATCAACTCAGTGTTCTGGGGTCGGCAATCAGTGTCAGTATGCCCGGCCGACAATGGCATTTCCATGTGTACTGGGGCGAGCGAAAGTCTGAATATGCTGAGAAAGAAATGCGATGGCAGTGAAAAATGCGACATCACAGCGTCGTTCAATCAGGCAAATAGTTAATTTTACCATATTGTTTGTTCAATTATAGATGGCTATGGATTCATGCATGATGTTCGTTATAGGCCTTTTCCGAGTGTCGAACCATTTGGCAGAAGTGGCATATGCCACGGGCCCCGCGCTTTTGGGGCCCCCGCGCTTCAGTAAATCATGGTTATGAACCATGGTTATGATTAACTTTTTGAATTAGGTTGAATGGTAATGGCAATGATATTCAAAGGCATTACCATGATCCAGGTTGAATGGTTATGCTGATATTCAACGGCATAACCATCCAATTAGTTGAATGGTCATGCCGAAGACAGTCAACGGCTTCACCATCCAATATTCAAAGGCGTCACCTTTGAACCACTGTAATGATAAGAGCTGCACGGTTTTGTAACTTTTGTAGTTGATTGAGAGACTGACACACAGGCAGATCGATACAGCATGAACAACAAATGATTTACAACTTTCTATAGGTGCAGAACGGAGCTGAGAATTGTCCAGGGACACAGAAATATCTGATTGTGAATTACAGCTGCAAGCCTGCGGGAGCTAAAGGTGGGTGGAAGAAATGGTCTTAACGAACAGGCTTTTCAGTCATGTATCATAAATTACTGTATGTGTGTAAAATTACTGTGTGTAAAATTACTGTGTGTAAAATTACTGTGTGTAAAATTACTGTGTGTAAAATTACCGCTTCGTCTCACCACAGCATGTCAGTATATTCGCTAATTACATCTTCCTTGTTCACGTTCAAATAAAATTGCTGTTGAAATATCTTGCTTTAAAATATAGTAACTCTGGACTATCATGACTTACCGAAGTTGATTTTGTAGACAGTCATATATTTTAATGTTTTCAATTTTCATTAATTTGAGAGACCTGTAGTGAATGTCTGCACTGATAAAAATATCTGGGCTTTTTTACCGAATAATATGTAGTGTTATTTTTTACAATAAGTATACTGTAATCATAAATTAGAGTACAATGGACTGTGTTTAAAAAGAAATCTGGTATTTGACATTTTTGACAGTAAGCTTTTACAGTAAGTATTCTGTAATCGTAAATCAGTGGTATAATGGACTGTATTTTAAAGGAATCCATTATTTGACATGTGTTTGACCTTTGTTTGACCGCAATCTTTTACAGTTGAAATTGTAAATTACAGTGTAATAGACTGTTTTGAATTACAACCTTTTTACGGTACAAATACAGACGGTTAAAAACAGTCTCTGTAAAATTACAGCACATTCTCTGGCGTCCCGGCTGCCAGTAGTTTTTACTGTGAAATTACGGGGTGGTTATTTTAACAGTGTGGATGAGCTGGGGTTTTGTCTTACTTTAAACTCTAGTTGAAGAGGACGACAAAGATAATGATGATGATGATGATGATAGTGATGACAAACTAACCAAGCCTCCTGGTATCAAAGGCGAAAAGGTCCAACTCACGAACACTGAAAACAATCGCTTGGGGATGGGCGGGTTAAAAGCGTTGGAAAAAGTCAACACCTTAATAAAACAATCCGATGGTTAGTTTAGCGAATTTCTCGCTAAGCGGGCCAGCACGGCTTCCACAAAAACAACCCCTCATCTCTTAGAATTCATCTCTTAGATTGAATTTTCGATGTCCACCAGTAATGAGCTGTGTAGAAATTTGGAACACAGCTATTGCATTTTATTACATTACATTATCATTCACCTCACTCTCATAGATATCTTATATACACCAGATAGTGCATCTAATTATTCTGCAATTCAAAATTGAAGCCTCAGGATATTCCCATGAAATGAGAAGACTCGTATGTTTTCTATTTCTTAAACAGGGAACTGAAACATTCAGTTAAACCTATTCCAAATACATTTTTAAACTATTCAAATGATGAAAGTTATTGTTGCTTTTTAAGCGTTTAATAGCGAGTGGGAAACGCCAACATGGCCGCCATCTATTTCAGGGTATTCTCCAAACATTATCCGGTCTGGTAAATTCTTTCGTCTAATGACAGGACTAACCTTCTAGGTGGCAAACTAACGGACGACCAGGAAAAAGCGATCGAACGAATGATCATCGGTGGATTGGAGAATACACAGAAGAAGAATGTGGATGTCCAGGGTACCACGAGAACCTCTATCCCCAAGTCACACAAGGCTAAGGCAGGCGGAGATATGAACAAACAGATTGTTGAACTAGCCAAGTTGGTTGACGAGGCTACATCAAGAATAAATTATAAGAAAGCAGCCGTAGCGAGACCGCAGACCAAGGCAAACAATCAACAGTCTGTAGTTGGGACCATGGCACGTAAGTTAATTGCCGTGTAAAAAGGGTGACCTGATTGAATGAAGCTTGGCAACGAAAATATAGCTCTTCTGAGGATGGGTCTACATTAAAAGACCCTAAATGAGTTGTTGGAAGGCTAGGCTAAACAAGTTAGTGATCGGAGTTGTGGTATTTACATAAACATACCATGCAAGTACTTAACTGAAGAGTCAGTCCATCTACAGTATAATGTAAACGCTGTATATCCAAAAATCTGTTTCAGAAAGCGTACGAAATGCAGTCCTAGGGGTGGAAAAATACAAAATTTTTCTTGGGGAGAATTCAGACCCCCTACTACTACATACGAAACCATCTGTCATCTCTCCACACTCAGTATAGTTTGGTCCCTTTTTGTAGATCCCCCCCCCCCCGCCCGACGGACGAATTCTTAAAAAAAGACCCTGAGTTCATTTGGAAAGTTTCATTTCCATTTTATTTTACAGCCAACAGAACAGTGAAACGGCTCAATGTTCCACGTCCAGTAATGCCTAAAATCAAATCTCGAGCACCAATGATGAATAAAGTCAACACAGCACCTGTTCAAAGAGCGAACGTCCCGAAGCAAAATGCAAAAAGAAATTTCATTTACGGAAAAATTATGCCTCGACCATAAGAAAGAGACGGAATTGCCCATGAACTACTGACAGCTATGTTATAGTGGTGGAAAAGATGTTTATTTCTGTAAAAATAAGTTACTATATATACTATAGGATAGGATATAAACTTTGACACTTTGTGTAAGGGCATGCATGCGTGCACTGAAAAATATTGTTGTCGTTCGTCACACCATTCTCGACACCATCTAAACATAAAGCTTGAACAAGAGAAGATGAGAGTTGCAACTCTCACTCGCGTTTTTTTCACCGCCAACTCTCATCGACTGTCATGCATTCTCATCAACTTTTGTCTCTGAGTTGGATGAAATTTTGTTGAGAGTTGATGCGAATTTTTCTCGTTTGATGGTAACATCCAGTCAACTCTCATTATCTCTCATCAACTCTCATGCATTCTCATCAACTTTTGTTTCTGAGTTGGATGAAATTTTGTTGAGAGTTGATGCGAATTTTTGCACGTTTGATGGTAACATCCAGTCAACTCTCATTATCTCTCATCAACTCTCATGCATTCTCATCAACTTTTGTTTCTGAGCTGGATGAAATTTTGTTGAGAGTTGATGCGAATTTTTGCTCGTTTGATGGTAACATCCAGTCAACTCTCATTATCTCTCATCAACTCTCATGCATTCTCATCAACTTTTGTTTCTGAGCTGGATGAAATTTTGTTGAGAGTTGATGCGAATTTTTGCTCGTTTGATGGTAACATCCAGTCAACTCTCATTATCTCTCATCAACTCTCATGCATTCTCATCAACTTTTGTTTCTGAGTTGGATGAAATTTTGTTGAGAGTTGATGCGAATTTTTGCTCGTTTGATGGTAACATCCAGTCAACTCTCATTATCTCTCATCGACTCTCATGCATTCTCATCAACTTTTGTTTCTGAGCTGGATGAAATTTTGTTGAGAGTTGATGAGAGTTTTTGCTCGTTTGATGGCAACATCCAGTCAACTCTCACTCATGCATTCTTACTGCTCTTGCATGATAAATTTTGTAATATAGCAGCTGACCTGTATTTTCATGCTTTGTAAACTAATAAGTCTTATTTTTACTAATTGTTTTATTTATATAGAATAAAGCCTATTGTTAGAAAATATTTTTTTCCAGTCTACATGCGCTTTCCACCTTTGTGAGTAGGGTTTAAATTTTTCTGTACCGTTTTAGACCTCATGGGGCTGTCCAATATCAATTACGTTAGTTTAGTACCGACGGAAGCTAGCTGGGAAAGCCTTCCAAAATTTTACCTTCCTCCCCGACAAGAATTTTGTAAGAAAATTAAAACAAGCAAAAATGTTTTGATAAGTCGGCAAATTTCGTTCTGCCACCCCCCCTCCCCCCCCTGAGTTTTTCTCTCCCGTACACCTATATGCCCCGAAGACCAAGAACATTACCCACGTTCTTATTTCCATGTTCCAGGGGCTAACCCCCTCCCACGGTCGCCAGATATTTCAGGAATGATGGACAAGTAGTTACTTTATTTGAAAATGTGCCGTTCCCAAAAGTGATCAGTGTTTGGGACTCGCTTTATTAAATGTCTTTCATAACGAATTTCTTTCTATTATGTCTCCTAAAATGCAACCCCAATGGACCATTCCCCAATTAACCAAAATTTTGAACTCAACAAGTCTAGACAAAAATTTCATCACAGCTTGAAAGAGCATCACAAAATTAGTAATATTCTAATGTTTCGTTGCAAAATGTTGTAAAATGCGGATAATATAGCCTTGCGAAGTTTGCAATTTTCAGTCATTTTAGATTACAAACGGGAAATGGTTACCACTTCTGTGCGTAATACAAAATGACTGAAAATTACAAACTTCGCAAGGTTATATTATGCGCATTTTACAACATTTCGCAACGAAACTTTGGAATATTACTAATTTTGTGATGCTCTTTCGAGCTGTGATGAAATCTTTGTTTAGGCTAGTTAAGATCAAAATTTTGGGAAAGTGGTAACCATTTCCTGTTTGTAATCTAAAATGACTGAAAATTGCAAATTTCAAAAGGCTATATTATGCGC